CAAATTTCATTATTTCAGATTTAGTATTGCAAATTTCTTTAGCAGTCGAGCTTTAGGACTGAGGAGAGACCAATGTCTTGATCCGGGATTATGTATTTTCAGAGCTAAGGTAGTAAATAGATGAAGAATTAAGTAAAGCTGTGGCAAGAGAATGGTTAAGGCGTGGAACTGAGGACATAAACTTGACAGAAAGGGAAATTAATTGTACCAGAAAAATGAAAGACTGAGAGGAAAATGGAAGAATTAAAGAACTGGACATTAGAGGAAGTCCAGAGCTTAGTTTTGCCTGGGGTGAGGGGTGGGAAATGAAGAGGAGAGAGAGCAGCAAAGAAAGAATGCAGTGATCTGAGAGAGGCTCAAAGCTTAAAGATTTAAGAAGTGAAGACACTGTGGCCAACAGTTATTTCCTGAGTAAGCTAGAATTGAAGATCCTTGTATTAAAAAGGTCAAGAAATTGTGCTACTGTGGTGAATGGTTTTTCATGTGCATGATTAAGTCACTAAGAATGACAAAAAGATGCCTTCTCCTCAGTGTCAGTAAAATAACATAAGTTAGTTGACATATAACTGCCAGAGATAAGACAGACTTTCAGTACATTTACTTGGTTGTATCTGAGGCAAGCCTTTTGTTACTCTGCCTCCCCATCCAACCCCCACCTGTGTCTCTGCTTTGCCGTCCACTGCTTTGCTTCTGGGTAAGGTACCTATCAACCAACCAGAACATGAGCCTTTCCCTTCCTGCTGTCTCCTGTTAATCTATTTACATCTTGTAATCTGATTTCTTCATGACTGTCTTTAGTCTTCTGCATGAGCTAAACAAAGACATTGAAATTTATGTTCCATATCTCATATCTCCTCTGGCTTTTGAAGCCTAGCTACAAAATGTAAGCCAATAATTTCATTAACATTTAATATTCAGAGTTTATAAATTTTACTTTGCCCTTTCCTCCCTTCCTCTCTATTTTCCTGCCTTTTGGTGGTAGAGATCAAACCATATAGTATTTCTTTTAACTTCTTTCATTTTTGTACCTTTATCTGCTACTGAGATTAATACTGTGTGTGTGTGATTGTTTGCCCTTCAACATTACTTAGAGAAGCTTTGAACTTCCCCACCACCACCAAAGTCTTGTTTTTAACAGATTCCCATCAATCCTGTACTCTTTTACTAATTCATGTTATGGTTGATTTGTGGACTGCCACTAGAAAACATTCCCACAGATTATGCCTATGTCCCTCTGAAGTGATTAGAGGATTACTGCGGTGTGTTTTCAGGAAAGCTTCATAGCTTGCTTCTGTGCAATACTGAAGTGGTACCTCTGCCACACTGCCAGAACCATTCCCATTGTCCTAAAGAGGCTAAGTAGTTATTTAAGCCAAATCTCATTGTGGTTTAATGATATCTATGTCAGAGCAGACATGGATTTTGAAAAGATTTCTATAGAAAACTATCTTGAATTCAGTGCTGCTCACAATTTACATTAATGTGCTGAAATAAAGGAACTGTTCACTTACCATTTTTTTGTGAAAGATGTAACACAGGTATTGCAAGTAATCTGGTGGAAAAATATTAAAACAGTGCTGTGTAAGTCACCCTTAATACATTAGAAAAGAAATAAATTGAATATAGGTAGACTCACCTCAAAGACATGTAGCTTTAAAAAATTATATTTTATCAATATTTTGGAAGTATCCAAATATATAGAATAATAATACTTGCTTTGCTTTTATGTGTTTATCAGTGAAGAAGATAAGTTTGCCATGGGTAGATAGAATATTGTAAAGAATATAGAGGAATTACCATGAGTTGGCATTTAATATATACAAATATTAAAGCAAGAGTTAGATCTATCCCATTCTGACTAAAACTTATGATACCTTGAGGAAGGAAAAAATAATTATTTTCAATGAAAAGTAAAAATAAAAAAATTATGATCTTGAAAGTAATACTTTAGATTAAAATCTTGGGAGAGAAAAACTGGGCAATGAATTAATCTGAGCATTAGAACTGAATTTAAAAAGATATAGATAATATGAACAGATAGAAGAACTGGGTGTTCTCCACCTTACCTGGAGAAAGAGGAACTGAAACTGTTTTGTAAACTTGCACTTTACTTTTTAAATTTTTTTTATTTTTATTTTATTATTCATATGTGCATACAATGCTTGGGTCATTTCTCCCCCCCTGCCCCCATCCCCTCCCTTAACACCCACTCCACCCCCTCTTCCTCCCCCCCACCTCCTCCATACCGGCAGAAACTATTTTGCCCTTATCTCTAATTTTGTTGAAGAGAGAGTATAAGCAATAATAGGAAGGAACAAGGGTTTTTGCTAGTTGAGATAAGGAGAGCTATATAGGGAGTTGACTCACATTAGTTTCCTGTGCGTGTGTGTTACTGTTACCTTCTAGGTTGATTCTTTTTGATCTAACCTTTTCTCTAGTTCCTGGTCCCCTTCTCCTATTGGCCTCAGTTGCTTTTAAGGTATCTGCTTTAGTTTCTCTGCGTTGAGGGCAACAAATGCTAGCTAATTTTTTAGGTGTCTTACCTATCCTCAAACCTCCCTTGTGTGCTCTCACTTTTATCTTGTGATCAAAGTCCAATCCCCTTGTTGTGTTTGCCCTTGATCTAATGTCCACATATGAGGGAGAACATACGATTTTTGGTCTTTTGGGCCAAGCTAGCCTCACTCAGAATAATGTTCTCCAATTCCATCCATTTACTAGCAAATGATAACATTTCATTCTTCTTCATGGCTGCATAAAATTCCATTGTGTATAGATACCACATTTTCTTGATCCATTTGTCAGTAGTGGGGCATCTTGGCTGTTTCCATAACTTGACTATTGTGAATAGTACCACAAGAAACATGGGTGTGCAGGTGCCTCTGGAGTAACCTGTGTCACAGTCTTTTGGGTATATCCCCAAGAGTGGTATTGCTGGATCAAATGGTAGATCAATGTTTAGCTTTTTAAGTAGCCTCCAAAATTTTTCCAGAGTGGTTGTACTAGTTTACATTCCCACCAACAGTGTAAGAGGGTTCCTTTTTCCCTGCATCCTTGCCAACACCTGTTGTTGGTGGTGTTGCTAATGATGGCTATTCTAACAGGGGTGAGGTGGAATCTTAGTGTGGTTTTAATTTGCATTTCCTTTATTGCTAGAGATGATGAGCATTTTTTCATGTGTTTTTTGGCCATTTGAATTTCTTCTTTTGAGAAAGTTCTGTTTAGTTCACTTGCCCGTTTCTTTGTTGGTTCATTAGATAAACTTGCACTTTAATGCTTATACACCAGATGGTGTGAAGTTCTGAGTTCAAATCCCTATCCCACCAAAGAAAGAAAAGGAAAAGAAAGAAAGCCAAGATGAGTTGAAGTTAACTTTTCAATAATCCTTTGATTTTTTCATATTATAATTGCTAATTGAAAAAGGAAATAAGATACAAAAAAGGCTTAATTACTAATGTCAAATAATATTGACAAAATGAAAAGAATATTAAAATGTTATGCAAAGAAGGATGACATAAGTAAATATAATTACAGGTTTTACTTTAAGTGTTACTAGTTAATGAACATGAAATGCAAAATTAAGATTATGAGAAGATTTAATGATTATGTTATGGGATAAGATACTTAATTCTTCTGAATACTGGTTTCTTATATATCATAATAAAAATAATTATACATGTACACCTGTGGATTCTGTGAGAATTAAGCCCTGTATGTAAATTACCAAGTTTATTATTTAGCTCTTGGTAAATGGCTGGATAATAGTTACTATAATCAATATCATCTTCATCGTCATCAACCAACAATCAATTTTTTCTCTCCCCTGGTTCTCATTGACTTGGGCTCTACGAAGCAGTGTTTATGCTGGAGTTGCTGGGGTCTGCAGTTACCTGGAAGGTGGCTTTGGGCTAAGAGCTTATCTATAAGCTCTTCAAAACTCTCCTGGTGATGTGGGTTTCTGGCAGCATGGCAGCAGTCTCCAGAGTGAGCCTTCCAAGAAAAGTCAAAAGCTGCAAGGCCTTTTATGCCCTAGTCTCAGGAGTCACACAGCATTACTGCTATATATTCTGTTGGACATAGGAAGTCACAGGGAAAGCCCCTAAAACGAGTAGAAAAAGACTTCATTTTTTGATGGGAAAATGACAAAATAACACTACAAAAGAACATGTGGGGCATGTTGAAGCCATCTTTAGAAGTAACTTTTGTTACATGTTACAAAGGATGAAGTTCCCTGTATATAAATGTGAAGAGATCTCCCAATATATGCTGGCTAAGTAGAAAAGCTAGGTATAATTCACTAATAATAGTATAAGTAGGGGGGAGAATATATTGATAATTTCTATGTATATTTTTAAAGATTCTGAAAATCCACTTAAGAAATGAACAACTGTGTATACTTATTGAGGTTGGAAATTGGGTGAATGGGGGATAGAATAAGAGGCTTTTCACTGTGCATCTCATTACACATTTTAAAAATAATTTGAAATTATTAAGGTTAATAACACAATTTAAAATTTTGCCCCATCATTGCCTTTTTAAAAAACTTTATTTTACTGTAGTTCTGTCTTAGAATTGGAATTTCGCGTTTAAAGGAACTTTAGATATCATTTTGTTCTGTCAATCACTCTAATTAAAGTGAGAATCCCTTCTGTAGATTTGCTAATATGTGGTCATACAGTTTATGTATGAACGTATGAACATTTATTTCCAAGGTAGTGAATTAGGTTGCTTAGCCATTGTAAAACACCCCAACAAAAATCCTTGATTTTTATTAAGTTGACTCTTTTCAATGGAACTAAGTCGCTGGTTCACATGACACTTTGTTTAGTGAGGCATTGTTAAATTTAATGGAACTGTAATTTAAAATATATTAATTTTATAATATAGATTTAATGTAAGATTTGTGCATAAATATTTTAATAGTGAAATTTGATTGTTGAAAAAATTGGACTAACCAAAGTTATTAAAAACCATAATTCCAAAGGTATTTTCCTTTTCAGATTACTGTGCCATGCTATGAAGGACCATATAGTTCGTGTTGCAAATGAAGCTGAGTTTATTTTGAATAGACAGAGAGCTGAAGATGTACATAAACATGCAGAGTTTGAGGTAAGGTTTGGGAAGTAGATTAAATTGTGCTTTTTTATTGTAAGTCAACCATCACCCATTTGTAACCTTACTTAAGAAATGCTTTTGTAAAGATAAATTTACTGAAGGCATTTCAGGTGCTATTTTTTAAAGTTTTAGTAAATGTCAAATGGAGCATGAGTTTATTTCTGTCTCGATAACATGAAGTAATCTTCCTGCCATGTACCTAACCACTTGATAGACTGAAGTTATCCTAACTTACTCTGAGAGTAAAGAAAAATAAAAATTTATAACACAGATACTTTACCTATTTTTAAACTTGAAGGGGTTTATACACTACTAAGTGGACATGAGTATATGCTTTTGTGAATAAACAAAATTCAACAAATCTCCTAATTTCTGTCTTTTAAATATAGGAGTTAGTCAGTATTTTAGTTCATATAGTTTTCAAAACAAAGTGTGTTTCAGAAATACTTAGATGACCTGATGTTTGGCTTAGGTTGGACACTTAGTGACCTTAGAAGTAATAAATAACTCCACCAACTTATCCTCTTGATACAGCATGCTAACAAGTGTGGTGTGGCTAGAAATCGAACCACAATTTTGATGAGGTTTTTATCTCAGCAAAGCAGCTCTCTGACTTATCCAAGTTGATGGACTAGGCCTGTTGATCTCTGACCTAGCCAGCTAAAAACCATGAGACAGAAAAATCAGTTGTCACTTTCATACACATAGCCTCTGCTTCATTAGGTGATGAGACAGCAGGCATTTGTCTTATGGAATTATAGCACCTTATTTTGAAGAAATACCAGATATTTTAAACTTGGACAAAAGTATAGTGACAAACAATTACCGAAGTTAAGTTTTGTATTACTTTAGCAATAAAAACATTGGATATTTATCAGGGTAACAATGCAGTATCTTTGATGGCAAGGAAAACTGACTTATCTGTTCTTTGAATAATATGTTTAGGTATAATATATGTCAGAACTCAAAAAAATAAGAATATTCAATTAGGTTTCAACTTATATTAGTAAATAAGATTTTGAATCTTAACTGAATGCCCTGCAGGATCAATTTTGAGGCAATCATTTATACTAAAAATTTAGGATATTTTGGGGGAATAAAAGCAGATCAGTATTTTTTCTCTGAAACATTTAAAATAGATCTTCAAGCAACTAGATATTAACTATGAGCTTTAACATATGTCTAACTAAATGGGTGTTAAAGACAGTGTTTCTCAATCTTTTACATTATGACATGCCCCAGAAGTCTTTTTAGATTTTTTTTCATAGTTGCTCCCAACCCCAGTGCATTTCTAACACCACCAGCATTCTATTTGTGACCTGTGCATGCAACTGAACATTGTACATTGAAAGGCTAACATTTTTTCATACATACCACCACCACTTATGTGCTCAATGGATACACGGCCAGGTGTACGTGAAGGGGATACAAAGACTTAACAGTTTTAAAATTAAATATACATAGTATGCAAAGATAATATAAATCTATTTTGAGATTGTGGCCTAATGGATATACATTTTTTAACCCAAATATTTACATTTTCATTTTTTATGTTAGAGCAGTATTAGTAAATGCATTGGTGTGTGTGTGTGTGTGTGTGTGTGTGTGTGTGAGTGAGTGAGTGTGTGTGTAGTTTCCCAAACATAACATTTTTAAATTGCAAAAGATTTTACAAGAGTTGTAACATTTAACTAGGACTTCTTGATGAGTTTATCTATCCCACATTTAAGCCTGTACTAGGAGCAAAAGCATATTAATTTGAGATGGATGCTTCACAGTTAAGTTTTTTTTAGTTAACTACTGTAATTGTTAAGGAAGAAAAATGAAAATTTAATTTTACTCTCCAATGAGCTAATGAAATATTAACCTCATTACTGAGGCAGATCCTTGTACTAATTGGTGATTCCCTGTACAAAAAGATAAATTGGAAAATGAATTAATCCTTCTTAGATTACTGTAAGGTTATTTCTCCAAAAGAGATGACTATGGTAGTACTCTATATCAGTACACAGAATGAATATATTCAAGTACCTTCCATAAAATAGACTTTTGCATAGAAATGATGAATGGGAGCGACTTATATGTATTTTTCTCATGTGTTATATGAGACTTTATTCTTCCTAGTTGTATTACATGTATTACATACTTGTTAATGGTAAATTTATAGTCAAGCTAATATGTATAAAAATGACTAAAAACATGATTAAATAGAATCTCTTTTTCATGTTCATATTGAACCTTTTGATACAGAAAGGGATCCATTGATCAGTTGCATGTGGCTAACACCAGTGAGCATACAGACAGCTGACATGACAACTGATTATTATAGAAAAGAAAGAGAAGAATGAGGGAATAATTATGATAAAGCCCCTTGAAAACATTAAATTTTAGAGTTAGAAGTGAACATTGAGGAAATCTGGTCAGCTTCTCATGTTACATATGTGAAACTGAATGTCATGAAAAAAAATGGAGTTTGTTGCATAGTATGAATTAAAATCCAGGTCTACTAAATTCCTAAATTATTTTCTTTCCTCTATCTTACATTGTCATTCATGAAATTGAAAATCAGATTATCAGAAGTGATATTAACTATAAAAATCATTCACTAACATTATTCAAAATATTTTATATATACTTTCAGGAGAGTACATTTTTACCAATTTAAAAGGTATTCTTCATAACATAGTACCAGGTTACAATATCTGAGTTTTTAAAATCAAATGGTTTTGTGCTTTAACTTAAGGATAGGTATCATTTCTTTATTATATATAGTAAAAACAAAAACAAAAACAAAAAAAAACTTGATCATTCCACATTGTTTATATATCTTCCCAGTCACAGTGTGCCCAGTATGCAGCTGATAGAAGAGAGGAAGAAAAGATGTGTGACCATCTTATTAGTGCTGCTAAACACCGAGATCACGTGACAGCAAATCAGCTGAAACAGAAGATTCTCAATATTCTCACAAATAAGCATGGTGCTTGGGGAGCAGTTTCTCAAAGGTGAGTTACAAACAATTAGAAGAAAACAGTAACTCATGGGTTAATTATAATAGTTGAAAGTGAAACTATGACCACAAATTTAAAATACAAACAAATGGTTCTAATCTTCATTTGAATGGTTTAAAAGAAAATCTAAACATTTTAAAGTAGGTCTAATGAAAGTTATTTCTAATTTATAATAATATGTAACATAATACAGAATTTGTTTAGGCAAGTATTTTAGACCACTACCTTATAGTAATATGGATGTTGGGTATAAGATCTGACTTTTTAAAAAATAACTACTTCTCAAAATACTTAAATTCATTTCATTCATAATTTTTCTTTTATATTATTAATACAAATATAAGTATTTTGACTCAGTAGTGCTACTGGGTCTAATGTGTTTCAGCAATGTGATCTTTATTTCTGCCTTGAGGAAAAGCTATAATTTGAGAAGTCTGTTAGGTGCATATTTTCAAGATTCAATGGTGTTATACAATGCTCAGAGTGTTTATTTGTTTTAGCTTTATAAATCATTTCCTATTGCTTCAATTACATAGGCCATAACAACCTAAATTAAAATCAACAGATTTTAATAGGCCCTTCAGTTAATAGACCTTGAATGTGTATGTTATCTCAATTGTGTCTTTCATATAAACATTAATACTAAGATTTTTCCTAATAAGATGGTAAAAACTCAACGTTCATTGAACGCAGCCATGTTTTGGCAATAACTATTCTGAAACTTCACATCTAATGCCTGATTTTTATACTGACAACTCTGAAAGTTAGATATTATTTCTCCATTTGGCAAATAAGAAATGTGACAGTCAGATGCAAGATTTGAAGATGTATTTAAATCTGCACAACATGCAGGAGGTCTGCCTAGCAATCACTATTCTTTCCCAAGGTCCCATACATTATGTGCAAAGATGATTTCCATGTTTATATTATTGTATCATATTTTGTATTTTCCTTAACTCTTTTGGAAATACTTCCATTTCCCCTACCCTGTGCATTGGATTCTTTTCAACTGTATTAGTTTACCTGAAAAAGTGAGGGGGGGTGTTAATGTATTTTAATTGTTTAACATTTAACTTTATGTTATCTGGGATACTTAATGCAGAATCATGCATAGAGCAGGCACTCATAGTGCTTCTCAAGCATTACAGGCCTGGTCATTTAAACATCTGTAGAAAATCCAGAAATATTCATGGAACTACCAAATGCTCAAACAATCAAATAACTAATCTATGATCACATTTTACCTGCTCCACTTTGATCAGGAAACAATAAAGTCCAAGGAGAAATTAACAACAAAAAAAGTGAGAGTGATAGAAGGTGGATGTCTTGCTCAGTGTTAAATAGCCAAGTAGTAAAGACAGATTTGGAGCTAGATCTATGTGACTCTAAAGATCATGCTTATTCCAATAATGAAATTAGTTACTCACTACAGTATTAAAACAAAAATAGCAATTGAAATAATGAGATACATAGCACTACTTAAATAGGAAGAAACTTGGAAAGATGGGGCTTGAGAATGTATTTTTACTGCTTTACATATCTACTGCCTAACCTGAATCTTATATCAGTTCATCTTCAGCATGACAGAATGTGTAGTTTGAACCTACCAGGTTGGATTGACTACTAAAACAAAAGTGAAAAAAACATCTCCAGAGGGTAAATATTATCCAGTGTCTTACAGCAACACTTCTAATGTCCAGGATACAATCCAAATTACTCAATATATACACAAGAACAGAAAAGTCTTACTCTCCCAAGGAAAGATGATTAACAGATACCAATCCAATATGACCCAGATGTGCAACTATCAGACAAAGGCTTCAGTATAGCCATTATAACCACATTCCATGAAGTAAAGGTAAATGCTCTTTCTTTAAATGAATGAACTGACTGAAGAGCTCATCAGAGAAACAGAAAATATTAAAAGAGCCAAAAGAAAATGCAAACTGCAGTATCAAATAAAATTAACTGAGTAAACTCAATAGTAGAATGAAAATGACAGAGGAAAGCATAAGTAAACTTGATGATAGATCTCAAACAAAATTTCACAATTTAAGAACAAAGAGAAAACAGACTGAAAAAAAATGTATAGAGCTTCAGACACTTGTGAGATGATATCAGAAGGTCTGACATTCATATTATTGACATTATCACAAGAAGATTGAAATAGAAATTGGGTACAAAATTTGTTTAGCAAGAAAATGGTTGAATAGAAAGTTAAAAGATGTCAATTTAAGAGATTCAAGCAATCAGATACCACAAACAAAATTAAAAACTCAATAAAAAGCGTATACCTAGGTACATCATAATCAATCTGAACACCAAGTAAAAAATTTTTGAACCAAGATAAGGCAACAACAGGCTCAAAGACTATAGCCTTTCTATAATTGTGGGGGCAGAAGTAGAATGTCCAGGCACAGAATTCCATAATCAGCAAAATGTTCTTAGAAATTAAGCAAAATGGAAGCTTCTCAAGTAAAGGAGAGTGATTGCTTCACCAGCAGATGTGTTATCAAAGAAATTACGAAAGGCATTCAGTCAAGCATAAAAGACACAGCATGAATCCAGAACTGTAGGATTTTGTTCTGTTTTGTTTTTGCCCACAACAGTGCAAAACATAGGAAGAAATGACAGACTTTCTCGACAAATATTTGCTGGAACAATTGAACATCTGGACCCCAAACTCTTAAGTGGATACAAGAAAGGTAGGAAATACTCTGGAGTTAGTTAGGTATAGGTAAAAAACTTTCTCCAAATGAAACCCCAGCAGCACAGCAACTTAAGAGATAGCCATAGATAAATGGGAACCTGCATAAAACTAAAAAAGCTTGCTGCTCATCAAAAGAAATGGTCTCTAAACTGAAGAGAACACCCACAGAGTGGAGAAAATATTTGCCAAGTATACATCAGACAAAGGACTGATAACCAGAATATACAGGGAACTTAAAAAAACTAAATTCTCCCAAAACTAATGAACCAATAAAGAAATGGGCATGTGAACTAAACAGAACTTTCTCAAAAGAAGAAATTCAAATGGTGCTGAAGCAGGCAGCATGAGCTTTGTAAATCAAAAATCTTGCTGAGATGCCAGAGCCACACTTGGTGGAAATAAAGCACCAAGAAGAATCAAAACTTCGACACCCCAAACCCCTAGTCTGTACAAAGCCTGTCTACACCACGTTACACTCAGAAAACAGGAGGGTTACGGCCACTGCCAGATGCCAGCTCCAAACCTGCTTGGGAGACATTTGGCAGACCAACAGGTGAGTGCCTAGCATCACATGGTATTCCCCCAGCCACCCCTGAGATAAACCAGCATAGGCCCCTGAGCAGACTGACCCCATGCCCCACAAAAAAGAAAAACAAAAAACTGAATAAACAAGGAACTGAAAACTAACACACAGCAGCGGGGGCAGGGTGCTGTAAGTGCACCAGAAAAGGGGGAAGGGCAAGGAGCTGCCCTCCAGGAAACTTTCAGGAAACAAATTCTGGAAAGGTAGAAGGGCTGACAGCACTCAGGTGATAAGCTGCTGCTTGAAATAGGCCAGATAGCAGTCCACAAAGTTCATCTCCTGAGCCAGTGAGCATCCAAAGTCAAATGATGCTGCAAAATTGAAAAACAAACAGCAAACCATCCCAACACACTGACAGCAGGGGGCCAGCTAATGGATCACTGACCTTGCCCCAGAGAAAGTGGGCAAAACAAGCCCCAAGTAAACCAGCACAGCAGAAACCCAACTCTATAGCAGGATGGCTGGTGGGCTGCAGAGTTGATCTCCCAAACCTGAGGACAACATACAAACTTAAAGTGCCACACCTTACTGAGGGAGGAGCTGACTAAACAGCTGCCTCTGAAAGACAAAAGAAAAACAGGTGAGACTCCCCAACCACCTGGCGAGACTTAGAGCTTCTGCTTAAATACCAACACCAGGACTAGATGTTGAATGAGTAACATCAGAACTACTAAGACTGAAATTCTTTTGTTCCTGAACCTGGTGTTTTTTTCTGTATTGGTTTGTTTTGCCTCTTGTTTCTTTGTGTTTGTTTGTTCATCTCTCCCCACTGATTTCTTTGGTTTTTTGTTCTTGTTTTGTTTGTTAGTTTTACTATTGTGAGTTAATGAATACTAAATTACACCCAGACCAGGGACAGAAACAGCATACATACACTAAGCTAGAAACCCAATATACCCACAAAACAAAATTAAACCAAGGGAAAGAAAACAGGTGACTGAAACCAACAATAGCCTATCAAGAACATAGTTACACAGTACCAGTGGAGCAATGGGAAGATGAATAAAGGGATGGAAACCATTCTTCCCCCCAAAATGATTTAATACAAGATTTAGAGGGAAATGAAGAAAATGGACACCCAGTTGCAGACTCCAACAAAACAAAGATAAAAGACACCAGGGAACCCAACGATGCCCACAAGAACAACCTCAAAGAAGAAATCCTGTAAATAATCACTGAGAATTTCATGGAGATGTTACTAGACGGTCAGCCAGAATGTACAAGAGGCACTCAAGAAATTCCAAGTCAGCAAAAATAAGTAATACAAGAAGACACAGAAACAAATAAACAAACTCATAGGAGTGGTAAACAAACACTAAAGTGAAACAGAAAACACTATAAATAGAGAGATAAATGAATTAAATGCAAAAATAGACAATAAAGAGGAAGTGATCCATGGTATGGAAAACCTCAGAACAAAGAATGAAACAGAAATACAAAATACAATGGAAGGACACTCCATCAGACTAGAACAAGAGGAAGACAGAATCTCAGAAATTGAAGATAAAATGGAAATTAAAGGAAAAACTGAAGAACTATTAGTCAAACAACTGAAGACCTGTGAAAGGAATATGCAGGAACTCACCAACTCCATCAAAAGACAAAACCTGAGAATCATGGGCATTGAAGAGGGAGAAGAGGTGCAAGCAAAAGGGACTCATAATATAATCAACAAAGTAATAACAAAAAATTTCCCAAATCTAGAGAAAGCTGTACCCATTCAGGTACAGAAGGCTCAAGGACACCAAACAGACTTGACCAAAATAGAACTACCCAACAACATATTACCATTTAAACAACAATCACAGAGAATAGAGAAGGAATATTGAAGGCTGTAAGAGAG